CAGCGCTGCCCTCAGGTCCAGGTTCCTGCCAGAGCGCACCCTGGGAGGCAGCCAGCCATGGCTCCTGGTTTCCTGCTGCCCCCATGGCAGACCCAGATGGAGCTCCTGGCTTCAGCCTGGACTAAACCCCGCTGTTGCAGGCACCTAGGGAGTGAACCAGCACAGTGGAGATTTCGGTCTCTCTGCCTTACAAATAAAAATCACCATGCAGGTTTTAAAAATGCAGTGGGAGAGGCCCAAGTGAGCTTTCTCCTCTGAGAAAGGCCTGGCCACGGCTCAGATTTGGCCAGCGTCCTCTGGCACAGTGTCCCAAAGTCCCCCTGAGGGTAACCGCGCCTCCCTGTGGCAGGTGCACCACAGGCTTCCCAAACTGCTGTGCAGGGGGAAGCGAATCTCAAATACCACCTCACAAAGCCCTGCATGAAACGACACATGGTAGCGTCTCCAATCTCCTGCCTTGTGGCCCTGAATGACATATTAACTGACACGCCTCCTCCCCAGGGACTCCAAATTGTCTCCCACTAAAGGTAGCTCTGGGTGGTGGGGGGAAGGAGGGCCCTTTGTTCTCTGCTCACCTTAGCAATTTATGGCCTTCAAAATTGTCCTTGGTGGCCAAAATGAGAGGTCCTCTGCCTTCCTAGTCCTTCCCTTTAGGACAGTTTTTCCTAATGGCATTGCTCAATGGCCCAAGAGGCCCATGAATGTGCCTCTTAAGATGATGAATAGATCTGCAAAGAAGTCAGGGATTGCAAAGGTCAGAGTTTTCCTATTCGAAATAAATACTCAGCGAATCCCATGGCCCAGGACCGACCTGCTATACCACTGCAGAACTGGTGACTTGTGTGTCCTGCAGGGCCCGGCCTTTTGTGGATTCGCGTTGTTCTCTTTCAGGAACGAATGCATGCACTTGCACCTCCCACTGGGTGCCTTGCCTGCTCCCAATCCTGTGCTAGGTCTGATCTTCCTCACTGCCAAACCGCACTTTCTCCACCCACGCTGAAGCTCAGCAGATCAAGGCTTTCGTTCAAGATCAAGGCCAGGTCTTTCCAATTTCAAACCTCACCTTTATTTACTAGTGCCCTCGTGTCCTTTCCGCATTTTCCCATGTAACGCCGTCTTCTTACTCGGCTGTATTTCATGTTGACTTGCTCCGCGTGACTGAATGTTCGACTCCTGCATTAGTTGCCTGTGGCTGTTAGAGCAAACTTTAAAAACTAGAGACTTGTTCTCCCACCTTTCTGGGAGCTACTCTGGCATCAGCGTGTGTTCTCGCTGAAGACCCTAGGAAAGGCTCCTTCCTTGTCGCCTCCTCAAAGCTTCTGGTGGTTACCAGCCATCTCCGGATTCCTCGGTTTGTAGACTCAACATTCCAGCCCCCAACACTGTCCTTGGCTGGCATTCTCCCTGTCTTTGCTTTCTTTTGTAAGGACGTGAGCCACTGGATTCAGAGCCCATCCTAACCCAGGATGACCTCGCCATAACTAATTGTCACCCCACTGGGAAACAGTGTTTCCGCAGGTGCATCTGAAGTTCTGGTGGACACCAATTTAGGGGGGACACTGTTCACCCCGATACAGCCCTATGAAAGACCTGTCTGATATCTGTGAGTAATTGAGAGGTTTCTAGAGCTACACAGACCTTCCTAGGTAAATAGCACCCTAAATCTAAATAGATTTCCCTAAATAGATTCATTCATTCATCCCACGAGTATTCCTAGACTTCTGTGGACTGTGTGGCATCTTGGCAAGCACTGGAGATGCCCTCTCCTGGTGCTTGTAACCCACAAGAACACCTGACGCCAGGGCAGCGTGGAAGCAGGAGATCCAGGGCGAGGGAAGACTTGATTTTGGCAGTCAGTCAGTCTCCGCCCATTTCCATCGACAAGGTGGGAGAGCCGGCCCAGGGGAACAGATGCTGGTAGGAGCTCCATGAGAGAATGAGCGAGATCCTTCTCAATGTCGTGATTCGTGTGTTGATGCCACTGGCAGATCCTTGGCCTTAACAAGGGGATGAGAACAATACCTTGAGTTGTTGATTGCACACTCGATGGGTGGCGCCTATAGCGGAACCCAGCACACTGCGAGCGCTCACGCAGCATTAGATATTGTATGCTGGATACACGTGTGAGGGGACATAGGACACTCTGCAGCTTGCCTTCCATGGTGCTTGCCGTATTCCTCGCTAGAGCCTGGGGTTGAGGGAGTGCCCACGGCCACTGGGCACGGAGCCTTGGTAGCTAGAGCTTCGCAAGGGCTGAGACGGTGAGGAAGAGCATTCTGGGAGCTTCTCCGTGGGCCTCAGAACAGAATGCATGGGCACCCTAGAAAGAATTAGGAGGCAGCCAGGACCCTAGCAAGCAGCAAAACGACATCCCTCCTGCTGCAGACAAGACGGGCAAGCTTCAAGGGGGAAGGGAAGGCCGTTTGTGGTCATCCTCACGCCAGCCTGATGCCTGGGAGCGGCGATCTCCATTGAGGCCCGGAGACCAAGGCTGCAGGTGGCGCAGACGCTGGGTCCCCGGGCTCAGCAGCCCGGCCTCTCTGCCCAGACGTGATTAGTGCACTGTCCTGGACGGGCGAGGACAGGCTGACTCATGGTGGTGACGCGCCTGGGAGTAGCTGGAGGGCAGGAATTGGCCAGCTAGTCCCGGTGTGGGAACGTTTCCTGGGCCAGCTCAGTCCGACCAAGTAGACGCCCTTCTGCGCCTCCAGCCGACAGTCTCGGGGCAGTGTCCTTACTGCCCTGTCCAGCCCTCCTGCTTCTGTTATTTATTGCTGGGTAACAGCCTCCACCCCAAAACCTAGCGGCTGAAAACAGCAACAGCGAGTTGTTTCCACAGCTCTGTGGGTGGGCAGTTGGGCCACTCTGCTGGTCTCGCACCTGGGATTACACACAGCACAGCTGGCCGTTGATGCTGGCCGGGATGCCCCCAGCCGCCTCATCCTCACTGAGGTTGGACGGAGCTTTTTCGTGGCGTGACTGTCTCGGGACAGCCTTCCAAGAGAGCGGCGCAAGGACTGCCCTACCCTTCGTACGGGATCCAGCACTCACGCATCATTCCCATCACATTCTGCTCGTCTGAGCGGATCAAAGCCAGCCCTGGGCTGGAGAAATGGACCCTGCTTCTGTGGGCAGACTGTCAGTGTCGAAGTTCAAGGGCAGCGCACTCCAGTGGTGCATAACAACTCCTCGGATTTCTACCCAGTGTTTTTGAGGCCACAGTAGCAGAGGCGTCACCTTGCTACACACTTAACAGTTTGAGACCTTTCAAAGTTTCAGCATTCTGTCTCAGGTCACGTCTTCCCTTGAATGTGAAGAATTTTCTGGTGGTGATGGGATCCAGGTCAGAGTACTGCTGGGCACACTAGACATCCTGTGTCTGGTCTTAATTTGAAAGAGAGAGGGGCTGGCGCCGTGGCGCAGCAGGTTAACGCCCTGGCCTGAAGCATCGGCATCCTATATGGGCGCGGGTTCAAGTCCCGGCTGCTCCGCTTCTGATCCAGCTCTCTGCTGTGGCCTGGGAAAGCAGTGGAAGATGGCCCAAGTCCTTGGGCCCCTGCACCCACGTGGGAGACCCAGAGGAGGCTCCTGGCTTCAGATCAGCATAGCTCTGGCCATTGCAGCCAATTGTGGAGTGAACCAGCAGATGGAGGACCTCTCTGTCTCTGTCTCTCCTCCTTTCTCTGTGTAACTCTGACTTTCTCAAATAAATAAATAAATCTTTAAAAAAAGGAAAGAGAGAGATCTTCTATCTGCCGGTTCATTCCCCAAATGCCCACCCTGAAGCCAGGATCTGGGAATCCAATTGTGGTCTCTCACGTAGATAGCAGGGACCCAGGCACTTAAGCTACTGCCTCCCAGGGTATGCATTAGCAAGAAGCCAGAATTAGAAGTGGAGCCGGCACTTAGAACCCAGGTACTTCGACATGGGACGTGGGGGTCCAAGGTGGTCTTACCCCACCAAATGCCCCCCCCATAACATATTAAATCATCCTGAAGCTGTTTCATACACAGTAGCTCCTTAGTCACTGTTGGCTGTTGCCATGGTCACCACCACCATTATCGTCATCCTAGGGACCCCGAGAGGAGGCGGACACAGAGCCGTAGTGCAGGGTGTGATGCCACCGAGACATCCTCCGGTCCCCAGTACACTCATCGGCATTCCTGACATAAGGTGCATGCCCGTTGCCCTGTGCACACATGACTTAGGGTGAATTGTGTAGACTGTTCAGAGTAGGGAGTGCAAGGCCAGCTTCTTGGGTCACCTCCAAGCCCTGGGCTCTGCTGACTTGGCTGTCTGGGAGGTGAGGAGCAGGGGTCTCACCGATTCCCCTGCATGCTCTATCCTGGACAAGGCAATGGCATTGAGTCCCTGTGAAGCAAGCAGCCACAGGCCTGGAGAAAACAAAGTGCGAGGTGAACTGGGGAGTTAGGCCAGGAAGGATTCTATGTGCTGTGGGTGCTCAGAGGAGGGAATGATTCCTCCATTCGGGTGCCACGAGCGCGCTTTGGGCCTTGAAGGGTTGCCAGCCTTGTCCCAGCAAAGGGGAAGGAGTGAGAACCCCACATGGGCCCAGGCCAAGGAATGCTTGGGGCAAAGAGGCACGCGTCAGCCATTGGTTTTCTCAGCAGGGGCCTTCAGTCAGGAAGGGGCGAGGAGGAAGGAGAAGGCTGGGGCTGGGCCCCGGGGCACCTCGAGAGCCAAGTGTGTGAATGGGGACTACGGTCTCAGGGCAGGGAGGCCAGCGAGACGCCACGGCCTCAGTAGCCCCTGAGCCGCCATTCCGTAGCCCTGCATCCCCGCTTCTTTATAACTGTCCGCGGTGAACACAAACTCTGCCCTCTGGAGAGCAGGAAGGAGGAGGAGCAGCCAGTAGGCCAACAGTAGGACGTCCCCTGGTGTCACGTGGCCTGCGGCAGGGGCACTGGCTCAGACCAGGAGCGAGTGGCCTGCAGGGAGACGCTTTTATCCAAGCGTTTCCCTTCCGCCTCTCTGGGGGCCGCCCCTCCTCTGGCCTGGCGCTTCCTGGGCTGGGAGCTTAGGTCTGGTCCCCCTACGGTGCCACAGCGGGAGGTCTGGGTCACGATCAGTGAGCAGCCACGTCCTGGGCGTGCGTTGACTTCTCATGCCTCTTGTGTCCTCTCTGCAGCTGGAGCTCTCCAACACCGCCATGCTGCATCAGATGAGGCGGGACCAAGTGACAGACACGTGCCGGGCCAACCGCGCCCTGAGCCGCAAGCGGCGGGTGCTGACCCCCAACGACCTGAAGCACCTGGTGGTGGACGAGGACCACGAGCTCATCTACTGCTACGTGCCCAAGGTGGCGTGCACCAACTGGAAGCGGCTCATGATGGTGCTCACCGGGCGGGGCAAGTACAGCGACCCCATGGAGATCCCCGCCAGCGAGGCCCACGTGGCCGCCAACCTCAAGACGCTGAACCAGTACAGCATCCCGGAGATCAACCACCGCTTGAAAAGCTACCTGAAGTTCCTGTTTGTGCGGGAGCCCTTCGAGAGGCTGGTGTCCGCCTACCGCAACAAGTTCACGCAGAAGTACAACACCTCCTTCCACAAGCGGTACGGCACCAAGATCATCAAGCGCCAACGCAAGAACGCCACCCAGGAGGCCCTGCGCAAAGGCGACGACGTCAAGTTCGAGGAGTTCGTGGCCTATCTCATCGACCCGCACACCCAGCGGGAGGAGCCCTTCAACGAGCACTGGCAGACCGTCTACTCCCTCTGCCACCCCTGCCACATCCACTACGACCTCGTGGGCAAGTACGAGACACTGGAAGAGGACTCCAACTACGTGCTACAGCTGGCGGGCGTGGGCAGCTACCTCAAGTTCCCCACCTACGCCAAGTCCACGAGAACTACTGACGAGATGACCACAGAATTCTTCCAGAACATCAGCTCAGAGCACCAAACGCAGCTCTACGAGGTCTACAAACTTGACTTTTTAATGTTCAATTACTCAGTGCCAAGCTACCTGAAGTTGGAGTGACCCGGGGCGGGGAGAGGGGAGAGCATCGGGGTTTTTTTAATTTAAGATTTTTATTTGTCAAAAGAAGTCTATGGATCCTGGGTTATTTTGTAAATTAATATTTCTTGTGGGGGGGGGTGATGCTGCGAGCAGCACAGTGAGAATTATTTAAACTCGTTCGTAGGGAGGACAGTGGTCTCCGCAGGGGGAGCAGGACAGCGCCCCCTTGTTGTAGACGTGAACACTGCAACGCTGTCGCAGAGGTTGCCTTGTGTTCTGGTGAATTCCGTGAATTGTGCATTCCCTAAGTTCTAATTAATATTATTTATAGTTATTTAAACATGGTCTCCGTATAGATTTCTTTGTGTGGCAGCAGACTCCTAACATCTTTCCAGAAGCAGCCCATCGCAAGCTTTGCTCGCTACAGCACAGTGGAGGGCGGGAACGTCTCACTAACCGCTCTCGGGAGTCACGCCAGCAGCCACTGTGCCGTGCACAGGTGCCATCGTGCTGGACGTGCTTCCTGAGATGAACAGGTTGCTGTCGCACTTAAAAAAAAAAATAGAGGCATCTGTGATCTGTGCCAGGGACTCAGTCCAAACCAACTGCAGTTGGCCCTAAAGCCCCTTGCACTAAAAACAAAACAACACCCACAACCAAGGAGAGAGGCGAGTATAGCAATTTTTTTTTCAGATTAGCAATCTGATAAAATAGGTTTTGTTATTTTTTAACAAAAACTTTTAACTGGCAGGGCCAGTTGTGGTGAAGGTGAAGTGGCTGTTGCTTTATAATTGACAAATATTTATTGAGTGTCTAGTATATCCCAGGCCGTGCAGCTAGAGCATAGCGCACACCCAGCAGTCTTGGCCTCAAGAAACTTTCTGTGGACACAGAACTTTCAGCTCAATAATGAGCAGACCCCTGGGAGTCATGCACTTCCCGCGAGGTTTGGACTACTCATGAGCAACCCCAGCAAGTCCAGGACCCTTGCAAATTCTTTTTTTTTTTTTTTTTTTTTTTTTTTTTTTTTTTTTGATGGCCCCAATCTGAAACCCACACACTTGGGTCGGGCACTGAACATGGTGAGTGATCCAAACTCACTGCCCAACCCAAGAGAGGGCAAAAATCATTCCTATCACATGCCTGCTCCGGTTTAGTGGGAGTGGCTGCCTTTAAGCTCCACAACAGATTCTTCAGGCACGGCACGCCAGAGTGCTGGGATTGATTAGTTCTGTCTGCCCTGGGTGAGGGAAGGAAAATACTGATCAAGTGCCTCATCTCTGATCCCATACCCGCATCCACGTAGCCCGTGTAGAAGGCTTGTCTTCTGCTTGTGTGGAAAAAAGTGAAATGCATACACGGGGATTGCAATGGTCCAGGGTTTCCATCCCTCACGGAGGTCCGAGGGGGATTATTTGTACACCTCGCACGTCCTCCGGAGGCTAAGAGACCATTGGCTCCTTGGTGACCGCCAGGCGCGAGCAGCAAGGACACCTCGATCCTAACCTACACCCGCTTGCCTCTGGAAGGCTGGGAACGCCCAGTGCCTGCTCCTTGCTAATGACCCTCTTCACACACTTCTCGCGTCTAGCCATCTCTGATGTTTCTCGGGTGAAGTTTGAGCCATGTCCCTCTTACAGCTGGTCAAAGAGTTGGTAGCAGATCCTGTATATAATAATAAGATAATAATAATAATAGCTGTAATAATAGGGGCGGGTGGGGTGGGGTGTGGGTACGTTTTGCTTTCTGTTTTGTTTTTAATGCAGTATCTAGTGAAGGGGGGAGACTATTCTAAACAAGAAATGAATAATTTATTCACAGAAGCTATTAAAATTGTATCGTAAAGCTCCCAGCAAGCTCAAGGAGCAAAAGCAGTCGCGTCTCACCTAGGAAATTATTTAATGGGATCAAGATGTGGGCAGAGAGGGTGGGCGACGCCTTTTCCAAGCCCTGTCCCCTTCACGAAGGGTACAGCAGCCATCCTCTTCATGGAGATCTGTGCGAGGTGTCTCCCCAAGCCGAGTGACAGCCCTGGGCTTTGCCTAGAATTGCAGATCGGGACCTTACCCCGGCCAGGGCCGCTGTTCTCCGAGCCAGGGCTTCTAAGGAGAGAGTTACCCAGCATCTCCACGCACGGGTTCCTGGAGGTCCCGAGAAGGCGCGATGCAACCCGAGGGTCCTGTGGCCAGATACCTTTGCGGAACAGTCCGCTTCCCTCCTGCTGGATTTGCCGAGCCTTGAATGTGTGCTGTGCTAGTGACCCGATTCCCCGGAGCCTCGCGGGGTCGGTCGTGGTTCCTGATCGCACACGGCCGGGAGCGCTCTGGCAGAGCTTCTCACGGAGCTCAGGTCGCCCAGAACCCCCTTGGGGCAGGTCGATTTAGTATGTTGGAGGATAAAAACTGCCCCTACTCCCCTCCAAAAAAAAAAAAAAAAAAAAAAAAAAAAATCCCCACAACAAAGCAGTCCCAGAGTCTCCATCTGCTTTAGAGCAGCAGAGGTACTTTCTGAAACAAATTCAACTCCTACTTAAGTGCAATGGTTCTCACCCTCAATACCGCCACAGACGGCACCCACTCCCTCGCTCCAAGTGGAACGAAGTCTCCGGGCCGCAGGCACAGGAGGGCGGGGCGTGTGCAGGTGGCCACAGAGCGGCTCCCCGCTCCTCCAGCCTCGGGGTTGCTCGGCGGGAACAGGTGAGCTCATGAACAGAGTCCGACTCTGGAATTGTGCACCGTGTGCTTTTCTGGGCTGTGAAATGGAAATTCCCGGCGCTGCCCCGAGTTTGTTTCTGATCTGTTGTGCGGGCTCTCCGCCTCGTCTGCAAGTGGCTTTTCATTCCACTTCCCCCTCAAGTGAGGAAGATGGTCCCTCGGGGGACAACCCGTCACTGTGCTTCTGAAACGAGGGGCTCTTCCCCCTTGTGTTTTGTTCTGTGTTCACACTTTATTTCTAATAGCATAAAACTTAAAAAAAAAAAAAAAAAGCGGATTCACTTCTTTTGCAGAATGTAGACAAGCTTCCGTGTCCTTGGCTAAAGAAGTCTGTTTGCAAAGCGTGCCTGGGAGACAAAAGTCAGTGTTTGTGCAAAGAAAAATGTCTGAAAAACGCTTTCTGGGGCGTGCTTAGCTGGAGAGGAGTGCAGGCAGGTGTCCCGCCTCCGAGCCACTTTTCAAAGGTGCTTGCTGCGTTTTATAAACCAGGTACCGTCAGGGGAGGGTTACACAAGGACATTCCTGCTTACCCCGTCCCTTTGGTTGGAAATTTCAGATGCTTAGCCACAGAGTGCGATTCCTGCCGCTTCTCCAGACCCCGCCCCCCGTGCCCGCCCTCCCAGCCGGCCTGGGAGAAGGGCGGCCTGCTAGGCTGCACTCTGGGAGGCCCCCAGGTGAGCCCCGCTCTCCTGCACGTTCAGGGTCTGGGGGCCACAGGGCCGCACTAGGAGGCAGAAACTTCGGTCAGACTGGTCCTCCTGGGAGCAAAAGCATGGCACCACAAAGATGGACTCCACGCTCCTAGAAAGCTCCAGAACCAAGTGGGCCAGTGCCTAGCACACTTAACTGGTGGGGTCAGGCCCTGTGCCCAGCTAGCGATTGCACAAGTCTGTGCTAATCTGTCAAGAAGCAGAGGGCCTGCGCTCGCTCCCCCAGCCACGCCTCTGCTTGCTCAGCCCAGCCCTCTCCTACACACACGTGGTCCAAGCCGCCGCGTCCTGTGCAATCCTGGTGACCATGTCCCCTCCTTTCCCACCTGTCAGCAGGACTGACCACAACATCCCCCAAGTTCCCACCACAGGCAGTTCCTCCAGCCTTTTCCCATCCACAGCCAATCGGACCCTATAACAGAACCTCCTAGAAGCAGCTTGACCCTTGGCCATTAACAGGCAAATCTCAGCCTGCTACTCTGTTACGTATAGAAAGAGCTGTCTGTACGGTTCTCACGCGCATGCTCAGTGCGGCACATGCACCTACAGGTTAACATCTTTGTGCGGTGTGACTTTTTTTTTTTTTAATGTATGTGTATGCACTAGAGGGCCTGTTGTGGAAACTCTCCCTGTGTCTTGCTGTTCTGTTAAAGAAAGCCGAATTCCACGTTGCCAACAAAAGCGTGAAATGTGCGTGAACCTTCCAGGAGAAGCCATTCGAGCCTGATTATTTTTCTAAGTAACTTCAATTAAATTGAAGAAAAAAAGAACGTGTCTTTCTGTGTACGCTTTGTTCGTGGCTCACTGACCGAAGACTGTAGGGGTCGCGGGGCTGTGTTCCTTAGCACGTGGGGGGCCCCGCTCATGTGAATCAAAGGACGGAGACGGGTAGCCTACCGACCCCCGCGGCCATGGTAAAGGCCACCACAGACCCAAACGCTTCCTGTCTACTGGACGAATGGAGGCTTCTCTTCACCCCATTTGTTCTATACACTCTGTGGAGTAACGCTTCGGCAGACCCCCGTGGGAAAGTAAGGCAGTGGAGACTTCCAGAGGCTCAGTGGCTTTGGTGGCAGGGCCAGCGTTCAAACCCAGGCCGGCGTGCTGTCAGAACCCCGTGTCTGGGGTACGGAACGATGACATGGCGCTCTGAGTGACCGCCCCTAGTCCTACTGCTGGGACATTATGGACCTGCCCTGGAGCCCCAGTCTTCCAATTCCAAATCCGTTCCTGTTGCCTCCACTGAGCTACTTTGAGCCCCATGGAAGGACATTATCTTAGCTGCGTCTGCTGCTCTAACAGAAAGCCTGGGGCTAGACGCCAGTAAGGAAGGAGGATTATCTGGTTGACAGCCACAGCTGGAGGGTCCACACGACATGGCACCAGTGTCCTGCTGAGGGCCCCCTTTGCGCAGCGAGACATACAGGCCAGGCTTGCTCTTCCTGTCTACTCCTGAGGGAAATAAATTCATCCTGTGCAAGGACAGCAGCCCTAGTGACCTCATCACCTCCCAGCAGGCCACTTCTGCAAGGTGCCATCGGGACCAGGCCTCCAGCACAGGGACCTTCAGGAGCCACAGCTCAAACCATGCCCCAAGCACAGCCGGCATCTTGTAGCTGTTGGCAAAGTTGAGGTGCTTTTGGGCCAGTGCCGTGCGCAGTAGGTTAATCCTCCACCTGCAGTGCCTGCATCCCATATGGGCGCCGGTTCTAGTCCCGGCTGCTCCAGTTCCAATGCAGCTCTCCGCCATGGCCTGGGCAAGCAGAAGATGGCCTAAGTCCCTGGGCCCCTGCACCTGCGTGGGAGACCCAGAAGTTGTTCCTGGCTCCTGGCTTCAGATCAGCACCAACTCCAGCTGTTGCAGCCATTTGGGGAGTGAACCAGCAGATGGAAGACCTTTCTCTCTGTCTCTCCAGTTCACTGTAACTCTACCTCTCAAATAAATAAATAAAACCTTTAAAAAAATGTTCTTTTCCAAAGAGCCAATCAAACAGTCGCTCCCCGGTTTCGTTGTATTCTAACTTCTCCCGTGGATTCACTCAACGTTCTCACCTGATGATCCAGGTGAGAGACAGATCCCATTCCTCACCTGGGCCGGGTTTGGTTTCTGGTGTGACCACTCAGCAGTGCATTTTCACCCCCAGCAACCAAGCTCTGACCCACTCCTGTCA